TGCCGGTCCCGGTCCGGTACGGGCGCGACCCTGAGGGTTGCGATCCGTTGCCGGACACGAAGAAAGACCAAAAAAAAGGAAAAAAAAAAAAGAAAAAGATGTTCAACCTCAGTAGTAACAAAGACATGCAAATTAAAACAAGAACTTCTTTTGTCTATAGAAAGGATTTTTTTTTTAAAGATAGTAATGCTCAGTATTGGCAAAGATACATGAGAAACAAGAGATTCCAAACCCTGCTGGTAAAAGTATGACCTTTCTGTAGGGCAATTGGACAATGTATCTTAAAAACTGTCAAAATTCCCATTTCCTTTGACAAATTTCACTTCCAGAAATTTTGTCAAAGAAAAGAATCAGTGATGTCCTAACCAGTGTACAAACATAGGCATTACATCACAAGAGCAAGTAATTAAATATAACTTTAGCTGAAAAGTAGAATATATACCATAATCCAATTTTTCTATAAAAATATATATATACACCCACATATTATATATATATGAACATAGGAAAAGGAGACAGACTGACACATGAAAAAAACATCAAAATGTTAACAGCAATTATCTTTGAATAGTGACAATTTACGCATTTTTTGTCTTTAATAAACATGTATTACTTTAGGACTATATGCATTAACTTTCTTAAAATAAGCAGACATTGTAGACCAATACATAAAACAACTGACCTTTTCTGCTCTTTTGAAGACCACATTAGCATGCTGAGGAATGTTCACTTCCAAAGAGTCCCTTTTTCAAAACAGAAATAAATGTTTTATGTTGCTAATCAAGAATAATAGTCATCCAGTATGTCAATCTAAAATAGAACTATAAGTTCTTATACTAAAAAGTATTTATGAAAAAAGTTACAATTTAGTGACTCTGCGAAATTTTACATGTAAATACAAACCAGATTTTCTAGTCTCCATCTTAATCTACATCTTCATTTAGCAAAGTTTAAAGTTCTAAATTTTAATCAAGCTTACAATTAATGTACAGACTTTAGCTTAGCAACTGGTTCTAACTGTTTTGGAATTGATAAGAGATTTGAGTTTATTTGTACATGATTAGATTACCATATTTTAAAATGTGAAAATATTACAGTTTTGCCAAATATAATGAATATGCAATGTTTAAGATACCTTAACAAGAGTAGAACTCCTGCTTTTCCCAGAAGATGCCAAGCAACCCATTCTGCAGTTCTTCTATCAGCTTCATACGTAGCCTGTCGGCTAACAATAAAAACCAGTGGTAATCCTAGTTCAAGATGAACAGTTGAAACTTGTCGAGGATCTTCAGCAACTTCAGTCTTCATTTAAAAAAGAACAAAATGTCTTGAGTGTTCACTGTATTCCAACATTTGGATTTCAACCTACCTAATTCTTATTAAAGTAAAGTCATGAGTGAAAAACAAGTCTGTGAAATAAATGAAATATTAACAGAAATGAGCTCATAATTTCCTAAGATTAATGATCCCAATGAACCTATATACTTTAAGCATTATAAAACTAATATATTTTATAAAGCATTAAACATAAAATTACAACCATAAAGACTAAGCATATTATAAAGAAACAAACAAAAGTAAATAAATAAAACAGCACGACAATGATAAATAGATAAATATTTCAATAGAAGTAAAATTGATAACTAAGGAATAAACTCTTTCATAAGAATTCAATATTACAAAACAACGAGGAACATCTAAGTTAAGACAGCAGATTGAATACACACATCTAATTTCACTCCTTCCAGAAATCCCAGAAAAACTACAGCAGTGGGGTTTTTAAAAAGAGATAAGCATACAGATGTAAAGAATGGAAAAGAGAAAAGACAGCAAAATTTCAGAAGCTGAAGAACAAAAAAATGACTGACAAAAAATTCTACAAAGCAAAACCCTAAGCCATGTGAAAAGCTAAGGAACAACTCAATTTTAACTGCAGAATCCTAAAATTGCTCAGGAACTGTCTGTTTCTAGTATGTCTGAAACTGGGAGAGAAATATAGGAGAGACAGTGGCAGGAAATTTCTAAAATAAGAAGGAATAGGTCAAAGCTTTTGAGAAGTAGTTAGAATCCTAGATTCCCCTCACCAACTCCATGAGGTTAGGCACCTGTCTCTCCCCCACACCAGCAGAAACCTGGGGGACTTCTGGAACAGCTGGGAATGTGGATACCATGCCCAAATCAAGAAGATTAAGAAATTGAATGTTGAGAAATTCCCCGCCTCGATCCCTCCCCTCTAAGTTCCCAGAATGCTAACAGCCAAGATCTTTGCCCACTAGCAGAAGAGTGTAAGATCCTTTTTCAAGAATTTTGAGTAGCCCCCAAAAGCCTAAAGATATTGACCTTGGATTTCACCAAAAAGCAGCCCAATCCTCATCATACTATAGAGCTGTGAGTCAACAAGTCCCACCAACATTCTCAGAATTTCTAATCAGCTCTGTAGTTTCAAATTCTAAATCATGAACAGATATCCAAGTATTAACAAACATCTGAGGAAAGCCTGTAAAATGAAAGACAGAGACCAGAATGAAAAAATAAATAACATGGAGGAAACACAGACTATGTAAAAAAAAAAAAAAGAAAGGTTTAAAAACTACTGTTGATAACCTCTAGGGGACAGAAAGACACTGCATCCATAAAGAACTGAAAAATAAAGTTGAATAAATCTCCCAGAAAGCAGAACAGAGATAGATGGAAGATAGGAGAGAATTGAAAAATGAACTCAAGAGTTCCAACATCCAAATAATAGGAGTCATAGAAGGAGAGATGAGGGAAAATAAAGATAAGAAATCATCACTGAAATAAACACAAAATTTTCCCACAACTGAAGGACATGAATTGCCACATTGAAAGAGCCCAGTGATAACCAATATAGTGAATACAGCAGGTATATATAGGAAGATGCATTCTTGAAAACTTTACAATTACTGAGGATATTTTTTTTTAGAAAAAGATCCTAAAAGTTTCCAGAGAGAATCCTAAACTTACCCATGTTAGGTAGAATTTTAAGATGGCCTGCAATATTCCTGACCCTTAGTGAACAAGTCTTGTATAATCCCCTCTCTTTGAGTGTGGGTAGGACCCATGGATTGCCATTCCCTTGATTAGCTTCTATTCCTAAGAGTCTCTTGTAGCACACTTAGGAAGTAGGATTGTTCCACTGGCTTTGAAAGAGTAAGCTGCAACATTGTGAGAGGGCCATGTGGTGAGGAATTGAGAGCAGCATGTGGGAACTGAAAGCAACTCCTGGCCAACAGCCAGTAAGAAAATGGAGATCCGAGTCCTACAACCATACGGAACTGAATTCTGCCAAATACCTAGATAGATGGAACAGTCGGAGGAAGTGGAAAACTTGGTTTCTTCTCTGTGTATTTGAAGAGCTATCAGTAATTCAGTATTATAAATTGAAAAGGAAGAACAAGCAGTAAGAGTCGAGATTTGGCAAGGGGCCAGATCATTGAAAATCACGTACATCTTGCTAAGAAAATAGGGCCTTATTGTGCAAATAAGGTGAAGCCATTTATAAACTGTAAGAATTACTGTAACATGACCATGTATTTTTAAAATATCACTTTGTCAGCAATGGAGAGAATGAACTTAAAGGGAGTCGTGATTTTTGTGACATGTATATTTGGTCTTTTCTGGCGTACAACACCTAAAATCTTTGGAATCTCCAAAGTGACAAGTGCCTTTTTGTATGCCTTAATGAGGTGACTGATGGCTGGCAACCCTTGAGAAGCTTCAGGATGGGGGCTGGTCCACAGAAAGACCAGACAGGATTAGAGGGTTGGGACTTTTGGCTCTAACCCCCCAACCTCCAGGGAGGGAAGAGGGGCTGAAGGTTAAATTGATCACCATAGCCAATGATTTATTCAGCCATGCCTATGTAATAAAGCCTCCATAAAAACACAAAAGGACAAAGCTCAGAGAGTTTCTAGGTAGCTGAACACATGGAGGTTCCTACAGAGGGCATGGAAGCTCTGCCCCCCTTCTGCCATACCTCATGCTATCCATCTCTTCATCTGTGTTATTTGTCATATCTTTTATAATAAACTGGTAAACTTAAGTATTTTCCTAAGTTCTGGTAGTCACTCTAGCAAATTAATCAAACTCAAGGAGGGAGTCAGGGGACCCCTAACTTGAAGCCAGTCAGTCAGAAATTCCAGAGTCCCTGACTTGTGACTGGCATCTGAATTGGGGACAGTTTTATGAGACTGAGCCCTCAACCAGTGGTATCGGATGCTATCTCCAGGTAGATGGCATCAGAACTGAACTGGATTAGAAGACACCCAGCTGGTGTCCCCTTCAGACTTGGTTGCTTGCTTGCTGGTAGGGAAAAAATCTCCACACATCTGGTGTCAGAAGCATGTTGTGAGAGAATAGTGGGAGAAATAAAGTTGGCTTTTTCTACACAGGAGTGAAAACAGGGATAGAAACAAGATCAGTTGCTATTATTAAAATAGCACATATGAAATATGGTGAGGACCTAGATTAAAAGCATTGAGTCAAAATAAAGAGTTTGAAAGACATTTTAAGATATAAAATGAGTTGCAAGGAGATGTAGGAATTGAGGATGTTTTCCCAGTTTTCTGCCCTGAATGTCTGTTTAGTAAAATAATCAAGATAGTGGAGAAAGAACAGGTGGTGAAGGACAACTCAAAGTTGGAGGTGTTCAACTTAAGGAGAGATAAATCTAATTAGTAGTTAGATATGAGGGTACTTCAAAAAGCTCATGTAAAAATATGATTGAAAGATAATACAATCTTTCCATGAACTTTCTGAAGTACCCTACCCTTATATATGGGACAGGAGCTCCAAAGAAACACATAACCTTAAAACACAGATTTAAGAATCTGTGTAGTTAATTCCATAGAAACAGATGAGATAACTTGGAAGTTGTGTTTCAAGGGTCTATCACTGTGAAGCAAAGCACTCCAAAACCTGGTGGCTTAAAATAATAAGAATCATTTATTTTTCTCATATATCTGCAAGTTCATCTCTGCTCCACATGGCATTAGTGGGCTATTTCAACTGGGGACTGAAAATTACAATTTAAAGATAGCTCGTACACAGGGCTAGCAAACTGTTGCTGATTATGAGAAGCTCAGCCAGGGCTGTGGGCTAGGGGCCTTGATTCCTCTTCACATGGACTTCTCCTCAGGCTGCTTAGTCTAACAGCAAGGTAGTTCAGTAACCAAAGAGACCCAAGGCAGAAACACATGACATTGTTTGACATATAGCCTCAGAAGTCATATAGCATCACTTCAGCCTCATTCTGTTGTTCATGGCAGTTACAAACCCCCAACCAGGTTCAAGAAGAAAGGACATGAACTCATCACTCCATAGGCACAGTGACAAGGTCACATGATAAGCTTATGGGATGGGAGGTATTGTTGCATCTTTGGGAAATATAATCAAAGTCTGATGGGATAATGCTTTGGAGTCTTAGAGAGAGGAGTGTATTTTGTATGTGGGAGGGATGTGAATTATTATAGCCAGTAGTCTGCCCTCTGTCCACAAAAACTCACATCCCTCCCACATACAAAATTACATTTCTCTCTCTAAGACACCCAAAGCCGCATTGCATCAGACTTTGAGATCAGTACAAAGTCTAATATATCATTTACATTCAATTACAGGTGCAGGTAAGGCTCCTCTAGTATGGTCCCTTGTATATAGCTCCTTGAGAACTATTCCTCTCAATCTGAAGACCTGTGAACTAAAGAGACAAATTACTTGTCCCCAATACATACTCAACACACAGTGATGGAACAGGTATAGAATAACCACGTTATACACTCCTGTTTGAAAGGGGGAAAAACAGAGGCATTCAATAGTCACTGGACCATAGTGATTCTGAAGTCCATCCAGGCTTGTTATTAGGGTTCAGTTCTACTCCCTGAGGAGTGCTCTCTTGAAGCTCTTGGTTACAAACTCTGGGCTCTTGTTTGCCCTCCAATTCATCCTTCCTTTTTTACAAAGAAAAAGGAGCCTGTGCTTGCAGCTGAGTGGATTTCATAGCCTCTTCCGGCAAATAGAAATTTGAGGGTCTAATGTCCTCTTATTTTGTGCTATTTCTGAGGCTTTCCATACAAGCTGATATAATTCTTTTAAAATCTGGGCATTTCTTAATTATAAATTTATAATCCATTCCATTAGATAAAACCAAAATCACAAATGTATTTGATAGGTAAAGAAAGGAAAAGAGTAGTATTATAAAAATTATAACTAAATAAAATATATAATAGAAATAGAAATTAGCATGAAAATACAGAAAAGTGACAGAAATACTCTTGCATTGGGGT